CCAACTGGGGTTCTAATACTTAATGGTCCAAGTTCATTAGGCGTAAATAAAACAATAATATGGCTAAGAACAATTTATAAATTAATTTCTCGAAATTAGGGAAATCAGTCAGTGAAAAAATAAAATGCAAAGTTTTTAATACTTAAGTTTGACGTACCCGCCCGAACATATAAGCTAACATCAATGAGCAAAGCTTGACAGAAAGTTTTCATTAAAAAAAACATGTTTATAATAAATTATGAAATGAAAATAATTATCAATTTTTGTATACAATATCTGATATTATTTAATTAAAGTCTTTATTTACATTGTTTTGATTATTTATTTTTGCTATTATATTATTAATTTCTTTTTTTTTAACCATAAAGTGTGAATGAACTCTTGCAACACTATTATTAATGTTCTTAGTTGTGATAAAATTTAATATTACTCAATAAATAAAAAAATACAAAACATATAAGCTAACTTCAGTGTGTTGAGTTGGACAGAAAGTTTTCAAAAACAAAAACATGCTAATAATAAATTATAAAATAACAATAATTACTCATGTTTTTTATACAATATCTGGTATTATTTAATTAGAGTCTGTTGTTACATTGTATTGATTCTTTTATTTTGCTATTATATCTTTAATTTATTTTTAAAACATAAAGTGTGAATGAACTCCTGCATCACTATTATTAATGTTCTTAGTTGTGATAAAATGTAATATTACTCAATAAAGAAATTTTAAATAAAAAAATTATAAAATAACTAAAAAAAATAAATTAAAAAAAATTAAAAAACATAAATTATTAAATTGTGATCTCTGAACACTATTAGAAATATTCTTTGAGACAGATTGTAATATTTTTCAATAAATAAGTTTATTGTAAATTATTAATTAAGGTTTTAAATTTTTTTTTCTGCGATGAAAATAAAATAAATAATTTTTCAATAATCAGATTTTATTTATACTTGTAATATCTTAATCTATAATACATAACCTTGTTATCATACCTACAAAGAAATTAGTTTCAAGTTTAATTACACCAAAGTTTATTAAGTGATTAGACTGCAATACTATTTAGCAACAGAAACGTTTTAAATCGCAAGAAAGATTTTTATCAACAAATTTACTACGTGAACACAGAAAAATTTTAATTATTAATTTCACAACAAACGATTGGATCTTTAACGAGTAAGGAATTCATGAGAACATTTAGTATAATTGCCCATTTTTTTTATCACTGGATCTTTAATGTCTATTGATTGTTTTCCTAGAACGAAATAGCAATTTTTTGTTGAATTGTGGAGAGTCTTGGATTTTTTGTAAAACGAAGATAGGTTTAATGATCCTTATGCAAAACTTTTTTATCCTTTAAAAGTTCTTTATAGCTAGTTAAGCAAGTTGAACATAAGTGATTTTGTGCCCGAATAACTGATTTAAACAGGCTAAGTTTGTTTTGGGTGCTTAGTTTAGGTTTTCTGTTAAAATGAGGAAAGTTCTGAAATTTGTTTTATGTTTATTTTCTATTTATATGATATGCGATTGTGAGAGGTATGGATGTATTTTACGTATTTATAATTTAGACATGGGCAAAATTTGTGTGTTTCATAGTTCAGAGCTTTTGATTAGCTTTTAATTTTTGGTCTTATCTTTAACTGGTTTACTTAATTTTATATTTTAAAACTATTTTACCTGTTTTTCTATCGCTTTGAAAACATTATTATTGAAAACAATTTCTTTATCAAGAATATATAAAAAATAAACTTTGATGGAAATCTTGTGAATCTAATAACGTGTGCTTGAAATAAATTAATACAATTTAGATATGAAATTGGCAATATGTATACAAGGGGGGGGGGAGGAGGTAAGGCGACATGTGGCCCCTATTGGAATAGCTGCCCCCTTATCGTGAGGGCCCCGAGTATGAGACCCCATAAACCCTTAAGAGCCGCTGGCAACACATTTGTTATATACTTGCCATACTATATCCTCCTTTATTATACTAACATACGTGTGTGGAGAGTCTCTTCCGAGCTACTGGATACTTTATACCTCCCTCTTTATTTTATATCTCATTAAATATTAACGGCATGCTTCTTATCTCAGCTACCAGTCACCCACCCTTATAGAGATGCCTACCTTGTACATCCTCTCAGTAATACACACATTATTCGATGCATCGCTTCCATAAATTTTCCAGACGGCAAAGCAAATTTATATTAAAATATATCAAGAATTACATTTATATTTTATCTTTATTTATTTCGAGTCACGGTCATTTACTGATTATCACCAACGTTGATTCTACTTAGACAAATAAAGTAAATTAAAAAAAATTATAATTTATTAAAATCCAACAGCCTTCGACGAAAACAAATTATATTATGTTTCTAAAAAATAATAAATAACACAAAATTATATAATGAAATAAAATAAATTGCAGTCAGCTGTCGAACGACTAATGCAATCGATACCAATCAAACAAGAGAATCCTGAAACGACATATGACCACTAAAACATCTAAGATACATTATTATTTTATTTTTTATATTATTTATTATTATTATTTCAGTCCTAGAATAAAATTATTTTTCATTTTCATTTCATATTATTTGAAGAACATAAAAGAAAATGTTTTTGGTCTTAAAAACAGGTTGTTTTTTTGTAATATATCTTGAAGTAAGTTTTTCTATTTGTTTTTTCAATATTCTAAAATATTTGTTTATCCTTGAATGTCAATAAGAGCAGTAATAATAATAATTCAAATTACAGCCACCCTAGAAATACAAGAGCCCAATGACATCTATTCACGGCGCTAAAGTCTACCCTACCCGCACGACACAGGTTCAACTGGACCCAGAATATTAGGGATGCATATTAATTTATATTTGTGGATTAAAATCAACAAACAATTTTTGGATCTGTGGGTCCAAAAAACAACATGGATAAGGAAGTAATACAATAGTACAATTAAAAAGTCAAAATTTCCACAATCTTTTAAAATTAATTTTGAATATTTTTTAATTTGAGCTATTGAAAAATTAATATATTTAGTTATAAATAACAGTTCAATGACGTTACTTATATTTTATATTCTAAAATTATTTATAAAAAAGTTTGTATTGTTTAAAATATTATTTGTTTAAAAATCTTATTTTATTAATAGATTCAGAACAAAAATTAACATTTAAGTGATATGTTTATATTATAAAAATCAAAATAAATTATTACTCATGACAATTAAAAGCTTCTGTTTATATTCATATATTTTATAGGTGATAAATATTCAAGACGCAGCCATTTAAAAAAAAATAAAATAAACAAAAATTAATATTTTTTATCCCAACGTTTCAACCCAAACATGTTGTTCATCTTCAGGGCTGAAAATTTTTTAAAAATATAATCAGATACATTTCATATATTTTATATATGACAGTTCAGAGAAGTTAATAAAAATTAAATGTACATTTAAAAAAATATATATTTTTCTTTGATATTGTAGAGAGAGAGAATAACAGAAAGTGTTTTTATTGAGTAATAAAATTATATATTTACACAACGTAACAATCAAGAGAAAGGATAATAGTGATATAAGAATTCATTCATACCACACTTTTCAAAAATTTAATTAAATTATAAATATGAATAGTAAGTATTTATCAAAAAAATAAATAAATAAATACAATAAACTCCAGAAAATCTGATTTATGCACAGCGCCAGTTTTCATGTCAAGTATTTTTTTTAATAACAGTAAAAATAAAAAATATATTTCTCTGTAAATTATATTTGTATAACATCAAAATGTAAAGGAAAAAAAATAATATAAACAAAAAATTACATTAAAATCAAGACCCGGAAGAGATGCTGCGTCGCCACCATCTTAAAGTAACGAATGTGCAACTTTAAACAGGCTTCAATTTGTTGCTTTAACATGTTGTCGATGATATGGCAGGTTTAAATGAATAAAAAAAGAGTAAATAATTAACTTTAAATGTTTTTCTCTATCTAAACTGAAATCCAGCAGGATGCTATTTATATTGATGATGAAATTAATTGATAGTGGAAATAACAAAGATTGAAATATTAAGTACATATTTAAAAAAAAAAAATGTATGTAATAATCACAGGGGAGTCTAAAACCGGTTAGTTTTATATTATTTTAAGAAATACATCATTTTTTTTTCTTTATTAAAGTGAGATCCATTATTGAGAGTAAGGAGTTATTGTTACAACTATCTGGAAGAGAGAAAGCCTATGTAAATAGAGTGAAGCAAGGAGCAATATACATATGAAGTGTGGCGAAGGTAGAGACATCGGCCAATGCAAATCTGCCTCTATGGGCAGGAGCCAGTGAATAATAAAACAGAAGGGCCTTTTATTGCGGCAGCCCTCCCTAATAAAGGGGGACTTTGTCGGCCCTTTGATGCCCCAATACCAAGGCAACTAGTCCCTGGTCTCTTCTGTAAACAGGACAAATCCCGGATCATGAAGGACCAACCTTCCGATCCTTCAATATCTGGAGAGGCCTCAGTTCGGAGTAAGCTTTGAGCAAATACTCACTATGGTTGTAATGTATCCAAAGAGTGTATTGGGAGTGGCTTTCTGAAAATACAGATAGTCTCTCAGATATTTATACGGATATATATATTTCTTCTAAGGATCATGGAATTTATTTTTAAAGATACAAACATATTTTGGCGTCGTACTGATAAATTACAACTTATAGAGAAAAAATATCTGGACTGTAGACCCACGTTAACCACTATCAATTTAGGATTTGTGAAAAAAAATGATGATTATCTTTCGATCGAATAGCTTTAATAATCGAAAGATGTACAGTTTATCTCTTAAAGTTTTCATAACATCCAACGGTAGGAAAGGAAAAATAGATTTAAGTACAATATTTCCCGAAAATAATTTTAATCACTAAAACTAGAATAAACTTAAGCTCTTGAGATAATATTATTCTACCATTTAATAAATAAATAAATAATAAGAATATAAACTTACAGGTATCAAGGGCGCTGATTAATGGAGTCACTAAGGTGGCTAAAATGAGGAGGGTGGATTGAGCCATTCTGCTGTCTCAGCATCGATTTCAAATTCAAGGCATCACAACTGAAACAAAAAATAATTTATAATATATAATTAGATGATAAATAAACAATAGTAAATAAATCGAATATTCCATTAATAATTTATTTAATAAAAGCAAAAAAATAAAATAAAAATCACACTAAAGACTATTAGCAAAACAAACTAAAAACTTTGTTAAAACCTATCAGGGCCTTAAGAGAATTCATAAAAACATTTCCCGAACACACCGTGGCATGTTTTATAAAGTCAAAAATTTCCAACACGTAGGAACAATTTGATATCACGACTTATTCTCAGGTTCTTGAAAGAATTCAAAGGATTTTCTAAATCCTTCCTTATCCGTTTATTACCGCAGATGAGATAGCAAGGCAGGACCGATAGACTGGTGTAGAAGACATTGTTGCCGGGCATATTCAAATCCGCCATTGTCCATGCCATTGTAGGCCCTTAAACTGCCCGCCCTGCCATGAATTATGGAAACGAAGGGCCCTAGAGCCGACCATCAATTTGTGGGTCCGAGGGCCGCAGGTGAGTGCCCCTCACATAGTTAAGCATCATCTATCCACTCAATGACAGTTTGATAGCGGCTTCTGTCCGGGTGATAGGTCTGCCTAGTTCGCGGACCCAATACCATCTCTTCCTGCGGAGATCATGTTGAAGAACAGTGGTTAAAGAACATATCACTCTCTTAGCCTGGATTTCTTCAAGGTTATAAGGACTTAATTACCCTTGTTGAAATCTCATTAATATTTATTGATTTTAGTAGGGAATATTGATACTAATTAGTAGAGAACCAAACGGCGGACCAACCCCCATTTTACAAACTATACTACTGTTCGTTTAATCATACTATTCCTTGCTCAAATTGTATGAATATAGTTTACATTTATTCTGTTGTTCAGATTGCATTATTTTTTTTATCAACATAAAATAAACTTAACAAAACCACAATTCGGATAAATTTTAAATTTCATTAAAAATCCATATTATACATCGCGCCTTATTGCCAATTCATATTATAATATAATTATAATTATACTTATTGCCAACCGTGATTCGTATAAGCTTAATACCAACTTAAGCATTTTATTTCTATTTTCATTGTAGCTTACATCGTGCTTCCTTTTTAATTTCATAATGATTATAATTATATCACAATATAAATAAGATTATATATAATATATTGTATTTAAGGAAAAAAATTTTAGAATTTAAAAATAACTGCTGTCACCTAAGTAAAATCATACCTCCAGATTAATATCACTATCCGTACAGACTTTCGGTCTAAAATCTTTAATTTATAATATGAAAGTGAGAACTTACAGGAGATGAATAGTGTAACGATGACACCAAGGTGTAAATCTCTATATTGTATCGGGAAAATATGAGATTACAGGAGCTCAAAACATATGTAATTAAAAGCTAATAGGAGAGCTCCTGTAACTCTCCTAATACTAAAATAAAATGTGATAATCACTTAATACTTTTTTATATGATAGAGAGACAACATTGAAAAGAAGGCTCATATTTACATACTTTGTATTATGTTCGAGGAAGCATCTTCCAAACTAAAAACAGTTTTGTTGTGATTTTGCCAGGTATTAATCTTTTTTATTTTTCCAAACATAAAATTACATATATTTGAATCATACATCCTAGTGATAAACTTGCCTTTACATTATTAATCCTAACATTTTGGATAAAAAGTAAGTATGAGTATTTATTTAGTTTCTGCATAGAGTGTATGTGGCTAAAGCGCTCATGCTCAACCTCCATTGGCTTTAGCACCAGTGACGCGTTTCAGAGAGTAATGCAGGGATCTCCTGGAATCCTACTTTTCCCTCTATAGTTGGTGGGACAAGTCTGGCTTGGAGATCTCTCGCCTGCTTGTAAATAGTGCTTATAAGTATTTATGTGTTTTTTTAATTTAATAATATTTAAGTTATTTTGTTTCTATTTATTGTATAAATATTTTTAATATCATTAAGTTGTTATCGTGCTTCTGTTTATTTTACATTTATTTTTCATATAATATGAATGTAGTATTACCCTATTATAATTATTGTCCATATAACAGAATATTATTTTACTTAATTAATAAAATTAAAAAAAGTTTCTGCCAAATCCTTAGTTTTTATGATTTGGAAATAAGTGAGTACTGTAATTTCAGTTCATGAAATTTCACTATGAAAGTATTCTATTAATTTTTAAGAAGTATAATTTACTACCTGTTGTTATAGTTTATAATTGCTATAATTTTTAAGCGTAAATATGAAAATATAAATATTTAATATTTGACCGTTGCAGTATAAAGGAAGGAAATGGTACGGGGTGGCGGTCATAAATAGGCTAAATAGTGGCAAAACTATTTTAATAAAGGCCATCGTTTGTTGGGCACAGAAAATAAATAAATAACTACATTAGATGAATAAACATAGAGACAAATGTTTCCCATTACCCAAACAGGTCAGCAAATTTCCCCAATACCTACCCTTACCCTGATTTTCCAGTTCTAAGTGAAACTCCTACTGAACACACCTGTAAGTCTCTATTTTTATTCTTCTAATTTTATAAACTTATTTATTTATTTTTTCTTTTTTTTTTCTCTACATTCATTTATGTCTATTATTTCATATTATATCATTTTCCTTTCAATCTCTACTGTAGATCTGAAGAAATATATTCACATTTGCATTTTTAAATATATGATTACAACAATTGTTACCATCTATTTACTTCAGTTTAGGATCTTGTTACTTAGATTACTCTGTATATATTTAATGTACTTACTGTTTATAATTTTAATAAGCTTATTCACATTTTTCAAAATTTCTTGTATAAATATTATGTAACTTCCACAATTCTCTATATCTTTTTGTATCATGCCCGTTCTAGCCCTGAAAATGACCAACAAAGTCGGGTAAAAATGTTGACTTTTAATAATTTATGACCGCCACCGCGGACCATCTCCTTCCTTGAAAATATAAATAATTCTTGTTAAATATAAAGGAATATTTGTTTTATATATATATATATATATATATATATATATATATATATATATATATATATATACAAATGCGTATAGTCGTGACATCCCGCCAACATAACGTAATACACCCACCGATTCAAAGGCTGACATATGAACCTGCGACAAGAGGAAAGGTATCGGCAGATAGAGGGGAGTCGATATGCCTTATGATAAAAACGAGGGCTGACCACACATTTACATCAAAGGGAGTAAACCACAGAGCGATATTACACAGGGCGGTGCCGGGTAATATGAGCCTCGTCCCCTATTGCAATGCATCTGTCTTGGCAAATATCTATTCTCCCTCAGAGCGCAGCCAGCTATGTCGCTTCTAGTGGGAGGATCCTGGTTTCAGAGGATGGAGAGTATGGCTGCTTTCATGAAACGAAACTAGATACCTTTAGCAAGCAGTATAGGTTTATTTGGAGAAACAGTGGCGTAAGTGTAAATTTCTCTTGAAACTAGATTTTATACTTGTTTTGTATCGACGCCTATGTTTTGATTTTAAAAGTTAGAAAAAAAAAAAAAAAAGAAAAGATATATATCATAATCAAAGCTTGCAATGAATTTTTAACTTTCGTTTTTAATCAGATAAGGTATGACTGAAATTTTGATTTTCAACTTTTTTTTCGTTTATTTCAGGACTAGAATTTTTTCCTTGAATTTCTTTTAAGTATAGATTCTACAGAAATTAAAAAAAAAAAAAAACCTTCTATTTATAGTTCTGTTGATTTCGCCAAAAAATATTCTCTTGTTTTGAGCTATTACTACTAAAATGTATATTAGAATCAAGTAATTTACTTCAGATGAATCATGATCCTGATCTAAGCACAACTACTGATTATTTCTCATTCAACGTAATTTTTTTTTTAAGAACTCAAATAATTAAAAGTTAAACTTTTACCGTAAAGGAAGCGGGGTGGGAATCTCAGTGGGCGCACACTGACTTTCAGAATAATTTATCCAGTAATTTTTTATCAGCCGTGGATCGACCCTGGGATCAGGATACCTCTTCTGAGGCACACCCAGCCTATATGAAAACTGGGTACTCGTAATTAAATAATTAAGTGGAAGACCTGGCGATTGAGCGTGATTTCGGCACAACCGTTAACCTTGTAACAGTAGTTTCTCACATATTACTCGAACCCAAGACACTCGATGGTTGTAGTAGTAGATTTTATTTTATTTTTTTACACAAATCTAGTACTTATTACACAAAGTTTTCCTTAGAACTTATATTCTAAGAAATTCGTTCCTTTAAAGTTTCACTGAAACTGTTAAAATATGACTTTTCAAAGTTCTATAAAAGTTTAAACCTCTGATCATAATTATAGACAGTAAAGATAGGAATCAAAAGTTACTCACGTGCTTTTGCCAAATTCTGGCCACTAGAGCCCACACGGGAATGTAGTAGAGATTTTTCGAATATTAGAGAAAAATTCTGAAAAGGCCTTTTTTAAGGTTTCCGAATATGAAGACAAGTCGATGATCCTATCTTAGGAATGCGGTTAGCAACAAGGACTCGTTGACAGATTTCCTTTAAGATACCACGAAATCTCTTTCGCAAATACATTTATTAAAATATATTTGTGATGACTTTGGAAAACGGAATGAGTCAAACGTTTTTGATATTGCTGAGATCGCCTGTTTATAATGCGGCATTGTAAACTATTCCTCCTGGAATGAGCTGGAAAAACGACCACCTTCCTTCACCGGAGTAGATAACGAGAGAGAAAGTGATTTCCAGCGAGTCCTTTGTCCTGGATCTGCATAATGCCTGCCCACTAAAGGATTCAGTCCTTGACCTTAGTGAATGTGCCACTGAGGCTAAGGTGTCCCGATCGTGGATCATTACCGGCTACCGGAGCCAACTTGCACAACCACCTTTAATTTATTAGTCACATCTCGTTTCGCTTAGCATGTTATTAGCAGCTATTTTTAGGTTCCGCATTCATCTGTCCTCTGCACTAGCTAACAAGTCGGAACTTTAAACAACAGATACCAATTAGCCTGATTAATGCCTAGAGTGGTCATGTTAATTAGGTTACATTTTCGACCACCTCATTTCATTTCTGTTTCGCTCACTGTTAACAGC